ATGGATGGATGGATGGATGGATGGATGGATGGATGGATGGATGGATGGATGGATGGATGGATGGATGGATGGATGGATGGATGGTGTTTTGACTTTTGACCAACCTTTCATTGAAATCGATGTAGCTGCATAGATTCATTTTGGATTGTAGATTACAAGTGAGTTGAATTTGAATTTAATGTGTGCAGAACAAATATTGTAAAAAAAAATGTTTAGATGGCATATCGAATACAAAATTCCTGGAGTCAAGAAGTTACAATTTCTATATACTAAATGGCACCTTCTGCACCGGCTCCACTTGGCCTGGCTCTAGTCCACCCCACCAATTTTCAGACGTTTCCATTACTGTTTTTTTTTTTTTTTTTTTTTTTTTAGTACCTGCACTGACACTGTTCAGCCCTGTGCAAGAGTAGGTAAGAAACTAGCAGGGCTGACAAGAGCCAGTATGAGTGCTTAAAAATGAGAAATGTAGACATTTGAAAATTGGTGGAACAGACCCAGGCCAAGTGGAAATGGGGGTAAATAAGATATCCTTTCATTTAAAACACCCAAGGTCACTCTGCAAAAAACAGAACACAAACACAGGTGCTCCCCATGGAGATGAGGTGGAAAGGGGGCTCAATAAGGTGGAAGGAAGAGGAAGAGTTAATGATTCAGGAGGAGGTAGAAATCTGAGGAAGATCTAAGAGGTACTGTATGAGGGAGCAAGATTATAAAAGTTTAGTCTAAATACAGTGCATTCAAAGCTGAGCCACAGGTTGGATGATGGCTTCATGTTTATCTATTAGAAGACAGCATACATACACCTGTTTTTCCAGAGGCAGAGTTGGGTCTACTCTCTCCCCCATCATGGTAGGGCTCTCATGAGGTGTTCTGAACTTCATTCCTCCTCCTGCTGCTGCTAGTGGGCTTGACCTGGGACCTGCAGGACGCAAGCGCTCTGTAGGCGAGGACGAGCGATCCCACTCTGTGGCGTCAAACTGTGCTGTTAGTGGGCAGGAAAAAGAGAGTGAGTCATGTTATTTACATAGCAATATGATCAGGTGGATTAATCCGCTCAAGCAGAAAAAAAAGCATCAGATAACAGACTACTGCAGAACCACATAAGCAGTGGAGGGTCTGACAAAAATATCTACCAGCATCAGAAATCTTTTAACAGGTTCAATGGAGGTGGAACAATGCTAGTTTTCTTTTCCTGTACTCCGTTCATTAATCCTTTCAGATTGTATTTTATCACCTTTGCGACATGTCAAAACTTCAGGTTGCAGTAAAGTTTTAAAAGACCTAAAAATGCCAGACTATGATCACAGATGGTCTCTACATGACAAACTCTATCATTCAACAGTTGCTACAGACAGGTGCAGCAGATGCAGACCAATAAGGGGGTCGGCAGATGTAACACAACAGGGTTGTGGAGGTCCTGACAACTGCATGCGCTGGTGTGATGCACATAAAGAAAGACGATGTGGGTGAAAAGAGGTGCAGGGATGTTCAGGGTGAGAGGTCACCTTGCTCTCTGATGGGGGGTTCCTCCTCCAGCTGACCTACTGGGGCAGGCCAGGGCAACTCGGTCAACTCCCTCATTTCTAATAGAGGACGGGAGGGGGGAGTAGAGAGGAGAGCAAGAAAACAGCAGATGGGTTTTTACAACGTTCACCAAAACCAGGCAGGTGAAAGAAAAAGAGGCGATAATTAAAAAGTGAGACTGAACACCAAAGGAAGGTTTTAATGTGAAGCAGAAGGAGCGAGTGAGATGCGAGAAATGGAGGAGGTAGAAGAAAAGGGGAGCCCTACTGAGAGTGGAAGTGAGAGGCGGTATGTGTGGATGTGACAGAGCTGTGGTGTCAAGAAATGTAGTTAACGCTACCTCCTGTCAAGAGGAGCAGTAATATAATCTAACCCCTGTCCCCTTGATAAATCCCACACACGAAAAACAGTATCTCTGTGCCAGTATGTGCTCTGATAAATCAAGGCAGGTAAGGCTTAAGGAGGCAGGAGACAGAACAGAGGGGAGTACTAACATCGCATTTATTTATAGTAATGTGAACTTTCCCCTCTCAGAAATAGTCTCTTTGCACAATATGCAATAACAACAGTAACTTCAAATGTGTGTTAAGCCAAAGAAAAGTGTGTCAAAGGAACTGAGGCTTGTGTGGGCATTTGTATTTTATTCACTACAAAGCAACAGAAGGCACACCAAGTGTAGGAACTGAAAATAGCTCACTACATGCCATGGCTGACTGCAGTAATACCAGTCATTACTGTCGTCTTTTCCACACACACCCAAGGACAGGTACATTATGCATTTGTGTCAGTACCACAATGTAAATCCAGCTCCTGTTCTGCGCAAATGCGGATTGCAAAACAAATAAAAAGGAACAGAGGGGTGACATCTTAATGAGCCGACTAATCCAAAGACCCCCCAGGCCGGCGACATCAAAGGCCAATTTGAATGGGCGTTTTGAGAAGGACCCAGGCTGTACATACATGTTCCTCTCCTTCCCTGGTTAATTATTGAGCAGGCAGACGCACTCTGCCACTTTCCCTAGCTCTCTGTGAATTATTGATGCATGGCTCAGTACAATGGCCCCATCTGGAGCGAACTGCACCTCCGCTGATGCCAGGATTAAAGTGTGGAAGGTACTCCTCAATGGAGGTCATGCACGGAGAACACAGCTGCACACAAAATTACATACAGAAGGGGAAAAGAAAACTCTTGGGACCACAACTGCCTCACTCTTCTACCTGTCACCTTGCTACCACAACAAATTTCCCATCTCCAATTTCCAAGAGCAACAGAGAAAGATGTGTGGAGAATAACAAATCTACATGGAAAATACACAAAAGCTACAGTAGGTTAACCAGGATTTTTTTTAAATTAGAGGAAGGTATCAGACATATAATTGTTTTAAAATGTTTTGAGCGTATATATATAAAATTTAGAAAAGATAACTTTTTTCCACTTCTCCCTCAACCTTCACATGTCCAGTACCCTCTATTCTTTCTTTTTAAGATTATATATTTTAGTCTGGGTGAACCACTTTCTTATTTAATCTGAATGGAATAACTTGAATTACCGGTAAGTAAAATATTCTAACTTATTTAATTAAAAGCAGATTTATCTTTAATGACAACAAATTTTTACATTAAAGAATATAGCTAAGATCTGAAAAAAAAGGCAGTTAAAATCATTAAGATAGAGACAGGACTGAGCTCTTTATATGAAATAATAATGAAATGATCAAAGAGTATAGCCATTTATTGTGTGTTCACACATCCAAATATCAAATTTTCAATACTTTTGGCACCTGAAAAAGTACAATATCACTCGATATGATATCAGCATGAAACATACTATGTTTATCTCTTATTTTGTAGTTTGGAATATTGGAAAAGATTTGATCAAGTGATATTACTCAAAGAGAGTACAAAAAGAGGTAAACGGCCTGTAACAAGTCAGGAGACATGTCAAAGTGCTTTACACTACATTCAGTCCTTCACCCATTCATGCACACACTCACACACTGATGGTGGCAAGCTACACTGTAGCCACAGCTGCCCTGGGGCTCACTGACAGAAGCGAGGCTGCCATACAAAAACAACACTGGACAGTAGGCAATGTGGGTGGAGTGTCTTGCCAAGGACAAAATTACACTAAAAGCCGGAATGTGAACAGACAACCCTCAGATTACCAGAAAGGGAAAAAAACGCCATCACTGCTCGATAGATTCAACCAGCCGCCAAACCTTAACGCATACCTCCACCAACACATCCCAACACACACAGAAAACAGGCTGCAGTTACAGCTGTAGTTTTTTTTTTATATAAAGGAGTATTCAAAACTTTGTAACTGTTAGTTTCCATACTCAAGGAACCTCATAGAATCGTGGTAGAAAGTGAAAGCAAATGACTGATTGTGGAATAGCAGTAGCTGCAACATGGCTGATTCCAGCAATTGTTAATCTGCTGATTTTCCTCTACAGCTATATCACAAGTTTATAGAACATGGTATGTAGTTGTATGCACAAAAAAGAAAAAAAAATGTGTTTAGGATGACAGAAAAGCAAAAGTAGCTAATACCAAATTGTTATCAATCTATGTAGAATATCATTCCTGAACAGACCCCTGAAATCTTGAAGCAGATGGGCAACATCAGCTTAGGACCACACAGGGTGCCACATCTGTCAGCTGAGAACAGGAAGCTGTGGCTATACTTTACATAGTCTCCAAGATTTCAACAATTATAGACTACAGAAAATGTTCCTTGATTGGAGAAGTCACAGTTTTTGGTTGGTCAAAACTAGGTGCGTTATAAATAGACCAGTCATGCCTTTTGTCAAAAGTTCTGGGTGGTCGCTTTGGTGCAATTCTGATATTTCATAGTCAAAGCATAGTTTAAATCTCCTCACCTGAACTGCCCATGTCAAACAAAGTTCCTTTCATTCTAGTTATATTCTATACATTATAGTTATGTTCAAGTTATTTTGGGCATTATGGGTGTTCCTTTGCAAAAATCGACAACTTTAAGTCTTCCACAGCATTCCTCCATATGGAAGCCCTCAGGGGTCCTTGACCCTCTTATTTTCTCCTTATCCTATGTTCTGTTTTTAGAAAATAGAGAATTCAATTTTACTGTAATGTTTATAAGTGACAGATCCAGTTCCCCTTGGCAAAAGACAATGCAGCTCAGCAGCTTGCACAGCACTGATGACATAAAAGCATGGCTTTCTCTGAACTTCCTCAATCTTAATAAGAAGTTAAGATGTTATGTTATTTGGACTGAGCTGCTTCCTTCCCTCCTAGTGGATTTTGGCTTACTGCCATTTTATCTCAGGGACTTTCTCACCTACATAAGGATTAAATCTGTACCAATTTTTAAATTTGAGAAACACATCAAAAGTTTTTACCAACTTCGCCAAAAAGCAATGATAAACCAATCTTAGCCTGACCATGATAAACTAGTCCGTGATTATGTTATTACTCATGGGACTACTGTAATTCACAATTTCCAAGATCTCTTTTGCTTGTCTGCAGCTTGTGCAGAACTCTGCTGCTCAGTTATTAATACAGACCCACAGCCGGTAGCATATCACTCCCATTCTAGCATCCCTTCACATGCTCCCTGTGCACAACAGAATTCATTATAAGTAGTTATTTGTTTTTAAATGTTTCAACCTTTTTCCCCCCACTCTCTTTCAGAGCTGCTTCAGCCTTACTGCCCAACCTGATCTCTTAGATCAGCTGATTGGCTGCTGCTGGCAGTCCATAAACTAGGCTGAAGCTCAGAGGTCACGGAGCATTAGCCGTCTCTGCTTCCAACAATTCATCCTTGTTTTTAAATCTCTTTAAAAAGTCCTTTTATTCCTTGGCTTTAAAAAATGTTGGTCTTGTTTTGCATGGCATTTTAAAAATTACCTACTCCCAACCTGACTAATTATATTGAATTGTGGATGTACAGCTATGAAATCTGCCCCATTTCCACGATGTCATTATGTCAATATGGAGCAACAGCTGTGAGAAACTTTTTACAACAATTTGAAACAGGTGACATCAATCAGCAGTGGTTGGCCAAAAGCTTTAGCCTGTGCTGCCTCCACTATCTGTTAATAATTAGAAGAAATTATTTGAATTTGGAAATAGCCAGGCTTTCTTTCAGCCATGGACAAAGAAAACATTTCTTAACAGACAGCTGACTTTTAGGTACATTAACTGCTAGTGTGTAATTAAAATTTGGAAAGAGCAAAGACAATAGAAGGGCTACATTCGGTCGATTAATGAAGACATCCGTCTCCACACAAAGCCTTCGCACTCAGTCTCAGCAAACAAAGACCTTCTGTCACAAGAAAAACACTCTGTACTGGCAATCACAGGAAAACGCACATTTGAAAAGACATATCTTTAACATTATAATACTACATAATTTGTGAGCAATATGCATGTCATCTTTGAATTCATTTCACAAAAAAGAAAATCAATACCAATTGG